ATGAGCCTGGTGAGGTGGTGTAGCAAGCGGCTATTGCTCAAAGGCCGGTATCAAACAAAGGTCAACAAGACAAGAGCCTCAATAGCAGATGATTGACAACAATGGCCTCACTACCGGTAGAAGCACCGTTACAAGTCTAGGACCCGAGGCAAGGGATAAAATAAGACGAGGGCGAGCGAAGGAAGAACAAGAAGAAGCAAGCCAATGGCGCATCGTCGTCTTCTCGACGCTTCTGATGGACTCCAAGCACAACGCCGTCGGTTTAGCGCAGCGCGCAGCGAACCAGACAGAGAAAGGGGGCGTTCGCTGTCGATTGCCGAGCCTACACTACTAGTAGAAACGACTCTGGGCCGGCTTGGGGGTATCTAACCATGCCGCTGTTGGTCCTCCCGTGCCCCCTCGTCCGTTTAGATCAAGGGTTAAGGGTTAAGGGTTGGCTTGCCGCTTGATGCATCTCTGATCTTAGTGCGCTGGGCTGGCTGGGGGGTTCCCGACAATGATGCTCGAGAGCACAGACATTGCTGCACTGTGCGGCAGAGGGCCATGCGCATGTCAAAAGGCAGATCTTGTAACGCTATCTTGGCTGACCCTGCTGTTGTCGTCTCTCTCCATGTTCGGAGTACGGAGTACATATTCATACGGAGCAGATATAGGTACTCCGTACGGATGCTGACTCTCCACAAGTCGCCGACTTGCCGACCAGGGGAGGGAGAGAATCAGGCTGGCTGGCTGGCTGGTTGGTCTGATGAGGTCTGGGTCAGCGGATTCTGTCGTGTCCTGAACTTCTGTGGTGTCTTGTCTTGCTTTGCCTTGCGTTTCCTCATCTTGCAGGAAACCCGCTTTGCTCATCTGTCTCTCGTGTGCGGCGTGCGGCGTGCGACGTGCGTTGTGTTGCTTGCTCAATCGCTTGCTTGCTTTCTGTCGTCTCTCGAGAGGTAGACCCCCTGCCATGCCTACTCGACACAATATCTCAAGTGAGTGAACCTGTCCTGTGCCTTCTCCGCGCCGGCCCCGCTGCGAACCCTATGTGCCTTGCCTTGCCCTGCTTTCCCTTTGCGGAGCGAGAGTGGATGATGACCAGGGTGTAGAAAACCAACATGGGCAGGAGTCCCCATCACAATCACGGCAGGGTGGTGGCTGGCAGGAGGGCGCTGCAACTTCCAAATTGGTTCTTTGGAGCAACAAGTGGAGGACACCAGGGCAGGAAGAACCGTGAACGGTTTGTGGGAAGGAAAGCCGAGTTCATAGTACCTCAAGTTCCCTCCTCCCAGTGACACCTTATCTACCTTAGGAAGGCAGGCACAGGTATCCATTTCGTGTTTGCGGATCGGATGTCTTTTGCTGATGGACGGCTCTCATCTTTCTGACCTTCCAATTTGTCAAGTTGCGTAATATGCGACGGCGGCTACTTCCTGTTATTTATTCGACATATCGCTATCATGATGAGACTGCAGCGTGCATCAGAATTGTAGTGACTTACGTAAGGTACGGATACCACCACGTTAGATAAGCAGGTATTCCGGAGTACGCTATCTGTCTATACTGAGGAGGAACTTGCCTTCCTCACTATTACCCAAGCACGTGCCACGGTAGGAATAAACGGATACATTGTATTATGTAACCGTACTTTGCACGCGCAAGGCAAGTACGAATACTGTTATCAAGCACAAAATGGCCTATTCAGGTTCCTTACGTTCCCCTCCCTTTCCTTCATGACCACTGACAGGTTCCTGGGGAAGGAAGCGGAACCTAGGAAACCTGGAAACCTCTTAGTCTTTGGCAAGCACTCAAATTCACCTCCTTCTTCCCCGGCCCCCGATGTGATGAGATTTCTTTGCCTGAGGTTCCCAACGCGGCCGGTCTTGCCTACAATTTCGCTCAAGTTTCCATTCGTGACATGGTCGACCTTCAGGCCCGTCCAGTCCAGGAAGGAATCGTCGACAAACCATGTTCCTCCCAGGTAGTACCACAGAATATATCTCCTGTCTGTCATGGGTAGTTGAGGTATGACAAAAATTTCGTTGTAGTAAGCAAGTGCCTTGCTCACTCATAGAGGCACACTCCGAGGGAAGGGGGGACTGGAATCTACTCGGGAGAGGGAAGGGATACCTACCTAGATCCTTCCATACGGATACTCTGAATTACTCTGTACTGATACGTACATACATTCAAGTTTTCCTTCAATTTGGGCTTGCCAAGGGTGGCCCACCCCTTCTGCTTCTTGATCCGAGAGCGGACTGCCTACGGATGCAGGCTGGGAGCAAAGTAACGACGACCCGACAGCATTAGCATTCAGCCGGCCAGTTCATCAACCACATTTCTTTTTTCCTCATCGTTTCATTGTCTCAGGCCGCTGACCCCTCTCCAACCTATCGCACGCCTCCACGCGCTTCTGCTGATTGACTGGGCCTCACCTTGCCTCTTCAAACCGCCCGTCACCGTCTCCATCTCCCGAGCGGTCTGGGGTGCCACGGTGCCCACCGCGCATAACGACAACGGCAACGACAGTCAGCATCGCCGTGCGAATACTGGATCAATTGCCAGAGATTCGAGCCAAGATGCCTCCTTCTACGTCAATTCGCTGCGAGAACTTGAGACGACCGGGGCTCCCTTTCACTCTATACCAGTCTGTCTCTATCGACTCGAGTCTCTATCCTCGGATATTTGCAGCGACATGTGTACGGACACTGTCCCCTGCAAGCAACAAGGCAGGCATGCGTTACAGGGCTCAACTCAAATGAAGATCAGTTACCAGAGCTGCCAGGCATGTTGGCGAGCCTCACTCAATGCCTTCCCGAGCTTCCCGTGGAATGCACTCGGGGCCACCCGTTGCACAAATACATCGTGTCTTCGCACACCAAAGACAAGGTGTGGTCTCAGTCTGCTTCATCCTACACAATAGGCAGATGGGTTGGAAAGCTGGAGTACCGTTGTTTGTTTCCACAGCGAGACACCTGCGGATGCACGCCTTGGACTGCGTCAACCTCGAACCGCTTGCCCTTCCCAGCGTAGGCCAGTTTGTCCCTGGTTCCCGTCCGCTAGGCTCTAGGTTGCTTTCACACTTTTTTGGCGCATCCGGACTCTCGAGTCCCGTCCTGGCCCTACCCAGGCGAGCGGACTACCCTCAACCCTGCTGAAGCCCCGGGTGCGTGTACGGGGACACTTGTTCACTCCAAAGCTCCGGTGCCGGGTCGCTACCAAACATCAGTCGTCTACTTTGTACGGAGTACGGATACCTGCCACCTTGGTCATCCTACCTGGCGCTGGCAACTCAACCCTTCAGGCCCTAGCTAGTTCTCACGAATCTCCGTTGCGCCCGAGCTTTTCATCCAACCCTCCCCTTTGACCATGACAGTAACAAGAGCGACAAGCTGGTTGCAAATGTCGGCTTAGCCTTCGGCCGGCGAGACATTGTCGTAAGGATCAGAAAACACACACCACTGGTCGGCTTGCGGACGGCCGCCGCCGACAATAACCAACGGCTGCCAAGACTGAAAAAAGAAATACTCTCAAGCCCACCTGTCCCTCCAGTTCCACTCCTCACGCAAGGTCCGAAGGTCGAGACTTCTGGCGCCTAGATCAGCTTAGCCAAATCTCTTTGGTAGGCGCGGCTAGGTGACAGACGGACTTGTCAAACAGGGTGGTTCATAGCCTTTCGCGATTTTCAAGGCTTTGGGTCTCACCATTCTGATAATGCCTCTGGGCTTGCTTTCTTTTGTTCAAGCCATCCACTTCATTACGCGCCGTCGCTCATGGGATTAGCTGTATCACTTACGGAACTGTGGTGAGTTAGGGACGAGATATCCGGATGTCTTCCACGTAGACCAGGACTTTGTCAAGGCACCAGGCCGTCATGAAGCGTTCGACCAGTAGAAGACAGCACAATCTCTCACCAACACCCCGCTCTTGAATCAGCATCAACTATCAGTACCCCGTCCTCTTTTACGGCATCGTTAGTAATAATGCTCAGAGTGATCGAATCCTACGACGTGGGTTTCTCTCACGAAGGCCCACAACTTTAAGTACGCTTATACCACAGCAAGTCTAATCTACCAGCCAATTGAGCGACCACGCCCAAAGCGCGACCTTGCTTGGAATTTGCAGCAGTGCAAGCTTTGAAGCCAGTCCTATGGTGGCTTGAGGCGCCACTGCCTCACGCAGGGTTGGAAAGAATCGTTTCTCGTCACTACCACATCCAGGACGATTGTGGCTGGGGACAATGCACGGCGACAGCGGTAACTGCATCTCGACGACCTCTAATATAAGCGCAAAGTGACTGAGCGGCGTCAAGTTTACAGTAGTTTCAAGCCGCATCACTCTCATTATTGAAGCACGCTGCCAATCGCTCAGCTCCCTTCACAATCCGGCGATCGGTTGTAACGACGGACTGACTATTCGTTCTGCCTTGGAGAAAATGTTCCGAAGGTCCATTCTGCAATGCAAGATTCCTGCAGATGAGGAAACTTTGGACCTGGTAACGACCTCTGTGTATTACCCGAGGCTCTTTCAATTATTCTTGTCCTGCCACGCCTGCTTACAACAAGCGGCCTCGTATGCTTAGCTTGGTAACCTCGACGGCCGTCCTCTCGACGCAACGCCGATGGGGCTTGTGATACACGACAACTTTGATGGCACGCTCGTTGATGTTCGACATGAAGAGAGCTGGATAGTGGAACGCGCTTCCGTCTGTTCAGGCGTACAAAGTTCCTGCCCAGCTTCCTGCAGTGGAAGAAGGACGATGGCCCTCGCATTTCACCTGGGGACTTTTTACCCGCCGCATACGGTTTGAACGCACGCAAAGTATCTCGATTGCTCCTAGACATTACGTTCCCAGAATTCAAGGATTTGTGCCACTCTTACCAGACATGGGCGACGACAAAATCCTCAAATTGGTCCCTCTTCGCTATAGAATCTTGCCGAGTCTTTCATCCAGAGTGATTCTTCAGGTGTTACGACTCACTTTCGTCTCCGAAGATGAGCTACTCCCGAAGCGATTGACTGCGTGTCTGAGGTCCAACAAGTAAGATCAACGACAGAGCCAGCTCAGATCTCTACGTACACTAGCATAAGTGGGCGACAAGGTGGAGGTCGTCCATCCCCGTGGCTGCATGTCGGGCAATGCATGCAGCTGCGTCAACGTGGGTGGTATGCTCGACTGTCGACGCTCTTTCCAAGCTCCCGCAGCAGGGGCCCTCAGGCTTTTGCCTTGCACTACAAGACTGCTGGGAAGAATCGGCACATCGGATACGATATATCTGCATTACGGTCCGACTTCGGTGCGACGAAAGCACAAGAGATGTAGAGGCCATGGGCCGATCTACCACGAGGCTTTCTATGGACCAAGGACATTCCGAAAGATGAAGAAATTCGTTCAAAAGGAGAGACACGATGAGAACCGACACATTGAGGCACGAAGGCACGCAGGCACGCAGCAATGGGACAGGCCGGTGCGGGGCATGTCGCATTAGGAGAGGCGGTGGATGTGTGTTCCGGCGTTGCTTCTAGTCTGGTGTGATGCAGAAGCTTGTGTGGGGGGGGCATGTGCAATCCAATGCAAGATTCCGTCCTGTACGCTGCGGCCCGTACATGAGGTACCTACACTCTTTGCAGGGTCACTACCACCAAATCGCCTTCTCCAGCGGCGCCATGATTTCTCTTGCTTGTATGCGAAGGCGTATACGGGTTCCTATGAGGCGGTTCGTCGTGCTGAGCTCAACTCACAGCTGTGGCTAGCCATAGTTTTTCGGCTTACCATGGATTTGGTCTCAACATCACCTCGCATACCCAGTCACGAGTGCTGCCAGTGACTCTTGTCTCTGGCCCCTCGCTCGGGATCACCGCCCTGCTCAAAAAGACATCATCGATACGGGGACTTCGAGGTCCGTACACTACGGATACGGATACATGGTCATGAACTCGTAGATCGGTCCGTTGCGAGGAAACAAGCAGCCAATCCTTGGCTTGTTTCGTTTCTTCTGCAATCCGGGCAGGGGATATTCGCCAACCTAGCAGCTAAGCCAATGCGGGTATCAGTTGAAGAGAAGCGCGGTCAATGACTAATCAATCCTCTGTGTGGCCATTGAGAAGTTACGAGCACTACTTCCACACGTTGGGGGCTTGACAGCATGGCCGGTTATACCTTGTTGGTCGTCGGTCTCGTGGTCAATCCAGACTGGCTATCCGAAAGATGCAGGAAAAGGGCCATATGTTCAGAACAGGCCAACCGAGTACCTGAATCCTCAGTCATGTCTCATAGACAACATGGCCAGCCACACGGTCAATGGCTTTCAGTCATTAGGGGTCTTTTTTTCGGACGAGAAAGCTCTTTGTCGCCAGCTCTGAATCCTTGTACCTGTCTCACTCCGACAGCTTCGAGAGGGAGGGGTGAGACCCGGCGGTGGGGGCGGCGGCGACAACCGTGTTCGAGCTATGGTAATGGCAGGTCCATCAACATCGCACTGGCCCTCGATCATCTGTCAGACACAATAGCAACACCTTGCTCAGCAGTTTAAAGGCCGTTGATTAGACGAAATTGCCACCGTTGCAACGCCAAAATGTCTGTGGGAACCAGGAGCGTTTCCCTTTGTGCCGGAGCAAGACGGACAGGCCCAATGACGGACATTAACTACGACTACTTTCGAAGGTTGGAATATGTATTGCCACGAAAGCTCATGGACGTCCACATTTCACACTCGATCAGACTCGGCAGCCGAAACGAGCTGCGGCTGATACGTGGTATCAGTCAGGGCACAAAATTGCAGACCTTCTGCTGTTGTTCTTGTTCTTGTTCATGTCCTACTGCCGTGGGCGCACCGTGCTCGAGGCATGGTATGCGACCAGTTGTGGCGTTCTAAAGCCAATGAATACAATAAGAGTCACCCAATTCGGCCTGGAGTTGTCAAAGGAATTCCAACGGCGTCCTGAATGGGGTTTTAACATTGCATCTTCTCTGAGCTTGGCCGCGGGACTTACACCAAGCGTGATTTATACAGAATATGCAGACGACTGCGTCTTTGCTCGCGAACGCAGACCCATCCCGGGAAGCGGACATGTCGTCCTTCCCGCGCACTACTGTGTATCTCCTAGGCCCGTATCAGGATGCGGCCCAGTGAACTATATAGTGCTGTGGGGTTTTGGCCAGCTTTCTTCATGTACGAAGTACTCCGTACTCCGTACGGAATACGGATACTGCGTCTGGGGGCACAGTATCCGCATGGTGGCATTGCGCCCGACAGCAATCAGCACCGCAGCTGACGAACCCCGGTCCCCATGTCGTCCAGACCCTGCAGACATCTTAAAATTCTGGATGCCAAAGATGGTAGATTCAACAGGGATTAGTGTGTGATGCTGATGTTGGCTTGAGCACTTGCATGACCCAGCTGCAAGGCGGCTAAGCATCTCTAAAACATGACCAATCAACATGTTTATCTAACGTTGAGGAGGGAGGGGTGCGTTTCAGTGCTCTGGGAAAACATCCCAGTCCTCCAGCCCTTTCTTTCTAGCTTGTACCGAGATACATCGACAGCCCTAACAGAGTCCTCCCGGAGCAGCAATGCCAATGGCAGACACGACTTGGGCCTCAGGCTATGAGAACCGTCCCTGTCCACCAGGGCTCGAAAGCTCCTCTCTTGCAAGGAAGGGGAGCTGCTCGCTGAGGACATCTCCACTCACCTATGTACTCCGTACAACCCGGCTTGGATTTCGACTCCATTCACGGCGAAAGACGGGTCCGCGGCCCCGACGTCTCGTTCCGTTACGAGACTATCAAGCAATGAGCATACTCTCAGAGAGAGTGGCGCAAAGTTGAGCGAGGCGGTATCTTTGCAGCAGACTTATCCGTGGTTGAGAAGAGAAGATTTGGAAGGTCTATGCCTTATTCAGAACCGTCGGCTTCAATTAGCATTTGCCGCAACCCAGGCGTGCTATGCTTCTCTCTTCAACAGGGCCACCTCTTTTGCAATGGGGTGCCATAACTACGTTGCGGTTGCAGAGTGGACAACGGCAGCCACATGCATTGCGGCGCACTTCCTAATAAGTGTCCCACTCACACAGCAAACTAAGGGTACATGTTCGAACATGCTGCGATCTAGTTGAGATACCGTACCTCCACATCGCTTGCCTACATGCGAACCACTTGCCGCTTTTGAAGCTAGTTCACTGGTGTCAGTGATCTGGCGGAAGAGTCTACCTACCTTCTCCGAGCCACATTAGCCTACCCGTCAACTCTCTTTCCCTCTCTCTCTCTCTGCAAGGTACTGGGTACGTATCGTTCGGCCATAATAAACGTCTCTGCACCACGGCCGACATGCTTCACGTTCTCTGTCTGGCCTTTCCATGGTGGCCAGGGACAATGCAATTTCGATGTGCTATCTTTCGCCAAGCAATGCAATAGTTGATCGAATAAGGACGCGCCGACTTGGTTGACCCGGATCAACAGACTTTGCACTTACACAGCGAACGTTCCATCGCCTTCAATACATTCCGGTCTCGGGAACTGGAGTTGCTTCCATTGACATGTCCAGCACTTGAGGCTGCACAACACATAACCTTGTTTTCAGGACCCTAAATTCCGAAGAGTATTGCATGAGGGTCTTTCAAGATTCTCACTGCGTTGATTACGCAATTTTTTTTTAAAAAAAAATTTTTAATTTTTTTTGCGAATGCCCATCACCCTAGACACCATTGGATACTTGTGTCGAGTTGTCAACGTACCATAACGTACCATACGTCCGTATGGTACAGAAGGCGATGATAAATTAGGGCGGGCATGTCTGTACGAAGTACGGATACACCCAGGACGGTCTCTTGGTTCCCCGACCGGGGGCAACAGCAATTTGGCTTATCAGTTCAGCGCCATCGTCGCTTCTTTGGCTCATATTGAGTGAGAGAGAGAGCAAGAGAGAGTCCCAGCAATTCGAATTTGGGCGAATCACAGCAATCCACGTCGACGGCAGCCACACCATCCATCTACAACGCACTTGGACCTACGTCTACGCCTACGCCTACGCCTACGCCTACGACCACGCCGCAACTCCAAAGTACCTGTCCCGGGACTCTTGTCCTAATCTGGCAACGCGTTCAGCAATTGAATTCGCAATCTGCTCAGAGACGCAGACAAACCTAGCCAGCCAGCTCAACCGACCGCAATTCAACGGCGAATGTCCAGGCTCTGATCCTATTCGACTGGAAATACTCCGTATATCGCTGCTCTCACCTACTTGTGGCCAGAGCAGTGTCACCCAAGACTTTGGGTCTCAACTACAGCTTTGGCCAAAATTTTGCAGCTTCGCCCCCACGTATCTGGATAACCGATTCGGCTCTGTTGTTTCCCTATAGCAATGAACACTGCCTTTTCATCGCAGATCACACTTCCCCGGCGACGTGGAGGCTGCCGGCAGCAGATTCCTTGAGGGGAGAAGTCGTTATGCACATCATATTGCTGGGAATATCGTCCTTTGCTGCTCTCATTCGCCAATAAGCATGCATGAGCGGACCGTTTTCCGCCTTACATGAGAAGCACGAGGAGTTCCTCCCGCAGCTGCGAGGAAGGGCCAGGTCAGACGGCGTGGCGTTGGGAGAGGTCTGACAGTGTCCGTACCGCTCCAATGGGTAGTTCCACGTCGTCGACGATGCTGGTCCAATGGGAACATGGCCGGGGCTGAGGGCTGGAACATACGGTCTGCGCGACATGACATGGGATCATGCCAGCGACGGTCAGCGATGATGCCTTTTCAACGACTTCAACGGGCAAATGCTCTCCGCTATCTGACTGGACTAGAATGCACTGAGCTGAGTTCCGATCGACGTTATTATCACTCGGGGCAGCTGTCTTCGCAGAGCGGGCATTTCATGGTCAAACATGAGCATCACACGAGAGTCCAGGTAATAGCAACTATTACAGCGTCTCTCATATCAGCACAGAAACTCATCGTCAGACTCGGATTGCCATGCCACCATGCACAAAGAAGGACGCTGGCGCAAGCATAAGTCATGTCTCTACGATTGAACCAAGACCAAGTGCCGGTTGACTCTCATCCCGCTCTTTGCGACTGTTATATCTCCGACACTATGCGTACCCATCCAGCCAACGTTTGATCACCGAGACAAGTCTGTGTTCGTAACAGACGACGGACTACACGGTATACTACGTAGGCGTCGGTTGGAGGTACAGGTTGACGTCTTCTCTCGACACTGTGGCGTTGAGGCGGCTCGGCCGAGGTTGGTGGAGGTGATAATGGCTTCACTGATTGGGTTTAGCATCCTCTTCACCGCTACTCTTGTGGCCTCTTTACGGCGACGCCCTCTCCCCTCTCCCCGTCCACGCTGGCTCTGGCTTCTTTTCTTGCCGGGATCTGGGGCATGGTGATAGAGGCACACTCGACCGGGGGGGGCAAGAGGGAGAGAGACTGAGTCTCTGAGAGCAAGAGAGAGAGCAACCGGCAAGAAAGAGGAGAGAGAGACCCAGGCCTGGACCCATCGGCCCACTAACCCATCATCGCTTGCTTCTCCGCTGCGGTGGAGCCAATAGCCCTATACCCGAACGAGCTGGCTTGCTGACCCCCCACTGGAGCCACGCTGCGCTGGCAGGGCTACCTTGCTCAGTGTCTTTCCCGCCGCCTGCTGAACGTTGAGGTTTTGTGCGCGTACCGGTGGTTTCTCACGTGGAGGCAAGTGGCACGATGCGATGGCGAAGAAGACGAAGGAGGGGGGGGGGGGGGCACTTGTACCTGTACATGCACCCAAGATGGCCCACGGCTGTTCCCCTCACTCTGGGCTGCCGCTGCTCTTGTTTCCGTCTCCACCCCCCTCCTCTTTCTCCTCCTCCTGAGTCCCCAGTCTCTTGAGTCTCCAGTGTGTTTTTTCCCTCTCCTCACTTTGCTAAGGACGAGGTACTATTCACCCCTACACTACACGACTTCCTTCGTACCTCCATCAGTCAGTCAGTCTTCCGACGGGGGCCCTCGTTCATCAGTTGAACAGTTCAAGCCTCCTCGCAAAAACATCCTGGCAAATCGCGCATCCGCACACCCATGACGAGATCCCGACTGCCTTTCTCGCCGTCTTTCGACGATGGGTGGGACTAATTGCCAACACCAACACCACGAGACGTGGGGCGAGCGGACGACAGCGGATTCGATTCCAGCCACGGCCTTTTCTCTCTCTCTCTCTCTCTCTCTTTCTCTTTCTCTCTCTCTCTCTCTCTCTTTCTTTGGTGTTGGATCTCTTGTCATGACACGACTGGATATCTTTTTTCGTCTCGTCTCGTGTCGTCTTCCGCCCCTTGTTGCGTTACATAGAGGCACGTCCATCGGATCATAAGCCCATCGGTCATCGGTCACTCAGCTCAGCTCAGTCGTCATGTTGTTGCTATTTTCTGATGAAAGCCGCCGTTGCCTGTTCCTTTCATCATCCGGGCTCGGCTTAGAGAAGGAGAAGTGTGAGACATTTTGACGAAAAAGATATCCAGATACGGAGAACAGTCCGCTGTTTATGAAGAGCCCCGCATTCTTAACGTCTGGACCGTTGGAATTGTCTCGATGATGCGTGGTATGTTGATACCGTTGAAACTTGAGAGGAGGCTCTTTTGACGAGTCCGAGATGGGCCATCAAGACTGCATCTAACTGATGCGAGCCTTGCTTGGTGTCGTCCACCCGCAGCGGAGTCCGGTAAGACCACGCGTCTGACCCTGTCCATCATATGCTATTGCTGGGTAGTCGTGCACCTGGAAAGCATGGGCGGACAGGTAGGTATGTACACCAGCATTCAACCCCCAAAAGAATTGATCCACGATCTGATGACGGAGGTCGAGCACGGCTGTTGTGGGCTGTAGCCTGTCCGTCTGTACTCTCACGATCGGCCGTGGCTGGACTCACCACGACCTTTCCTGGCCCAGGATCATGTCCCGGGTGCTTCTGGCCCCTCCCTCCCTCAGAGGAGCGGTGGTGCCCTCACCCCGCCGCCCGCCTTCCGTCCTGTGCATATGTCGGGATAGCTGCGCGCTTCCCGTAGCCTCGCATTTGTGTCGTGGGAAGATCTGATGGAAAATGACATGTCTTACATTAGTCTCCACGACAGCAGCAGCAGCTCGCGGGAGCCCTGCCCTAGCCTGAACTGCGCTGCTGCGTTGTGCGAATAGCTGAGATGGGCGCGTTCATGATCCAGTTTGCTTGTTTGCTTGGCACCCCTCGTTTGTCCTCCCGTCTTCACAACTCGGCGCACCGGGGAACGGAGGAGAAGGAGGCATTTCCAACGACGGCTCCTGCACGGAGAAAACAGCGTGCATCAGGATATGTGTGCAACGGTCGTACAAGCCTACTAGTTGAAGAGGCAAAGACCACATTAACATCATTCGACCAGCACATTTGAGACAAGGCCGGGCCCAGTATCTGCATCTACTTTGTACACAAATCCAGATCTACAGTGTAGGTGAAGGCTGGCGGTCCATCTTGGGTGCTGTCGGGAATATCTCCCTCCCACCCGCGACCCGCGACCCCCGGGACACGCATACAGATACAGATACACATGTCCGTACGTATCCGCACATGCTACTCTGTACACACACTTCTTCGCATCTCCTTCCGATCTCTCCTCCCGGTCAAGCCCAAACCCACTCGATCAAGCAAGCGGCCGCCGCCGCCGCCGCAGCAGCCGATTGCTTCTCGTCGCGGGTGGGTTGACGGCGATAAAAGTCCAGGCGTCTTTGCGGTCGCCAAAACTGACCGCCAGGTGCGCGCATCCTTTCCTTGAAATTCCCCTTCAACCTTGTCATTGCTTGTTCCCTCAACAGGTTGGCGTGAGATTTTTCTCTCCTTTGGCCGCTAATACTTCGTACACACACACACACACACACACACACAAAAAGTGACGATGGAGGAGGAGGAGGAGGAGGAGGGGAGCGGGCGGCGATGGGCGGAAGACCTCGCCTGTCAAGCCCGTGTTACATTCGCAACCCCCCATTTCCACTTTATTCTTGCCTCCCCCTCCCTTTTTCTCACGCCCTCGCTCAAATTTCCTGCCCCCAACATCTGGGAAATCTTGCCTATTTGCTGCCTGCCTGGCTTTCCTAGCACTTAGGTGTCATACCATGTGCGGCTAGAAGAGAGGGCTGGGGACTGGGGGGAGTGGTGGATGTGGATGGGATGGGACCCGCGAGCGCCCCGCCACCCCCCCCCCTTGCGCGCGTGCGTGGGAGGAGCAGCGCCAGTGTCCGTGGGCAAAGATGCGCCGTCGCCGCCGCCGCGTCTCGGGTGGTAACATGTCAGATTTACAACAAGCGCTAGGTATCCCGTAGCTTGCTGGCAAGAGAGGGAAGTATACACTACTCCGTTCACTACTAACGCAGCGGTGGGGGAGGGGGTGAAGAGAAGAAACCGGGAACAAGAAGGAAAGAAACAAAAAAATAAAAAATCACAAGAGATTACCGTACGTGCAGGGAGATGCCGCAGTATGACAGAATAGTGCGTCTTGAATCCTCGTCGAGCGGAAGAGTGTCTACGCCGCAGTAAGGGCCAAGACAAAAAAGTTCTGGAGTTTCTCCCGTCTTGGGAGGATTGGGGGCGCGCGCGTCTAGTCTACGGATAGTCTAGTTCTAGACGAGAGCTGAACTTCCGAAGAAAGGCTGTAAAAAGTAACAGATTGCCATTGAAGGCTTTTGAGCCTTGAAAGCCCTTTGCCACCGCTGCCTCACGATACGAACGATGCAACCGTATTTCGACTCTCGTCGACTCCTACTAGGTACGTGCTAGGCAAAAGGTCTCAGAGTCGTTGAGCAGGTGGCCGGGGAAAACATGGGCATACGGGAAAAGAAAGGAAAGGACAACGTTAGACGCGCCGCCCCCCAGATTTAGACTGACGACAGCAGCAGTGGCATACGGATACTGGCAGACTTGGTGGTTCCAGCCCATCTACTTCTGGATGCAAGTATGCTTCGCATAATGTGTCCCGTCGCTGCTGCTGGCTCCGTTGGTGGCAATCCAGCAGCAGCAGCAGCAGCAGCAGCATATATCTATCTGTAAGGCAAGGCAATGCAGCGGCCCTTGCCTTTGGAATATCACGTACGGAGACAGTGACAGCTCGCGAGACAGACAGACAGACAGACAGACAGACACACAGACAGACAGACAGACACACAGACAGACAGACAGACACACAGACAGACAGACAGACACACAGACAGACAGACAGACACACAGACACACAGACAGACACACAGACACACAGACACACAGAAAGAGACAGAAAGAGACAGAGAGAGACGACGTTGCGTGATGTCTCTACCAGTTTGCCCTTACTTCCACATGTTCTGTCTTCAACGTCGTCTCGTCCATTGTTGGGGGAACAATCCCCTTGTTGCATAACTCTTCGGCTTTGTTTCTCGAACTTCTTGTTCTCCCGTGTCCTCCCTTCCCTTCCCTTCCCTCCCCCTGCCTAGCCCGCCTCTTGTTTCCTTGTCCACAAGATTTACTTTGTTCCAACAGAGATTTTTCTGCCCATCAGGGACCACATGGAACGGCTATACTCTACCGTTTTGGGTCATTCGATCGGCTCGCCGCTGCGAGAAAAAAACTAAACTAAAGTAACTAAACATACAATGATAACCTCGGCGTAGTTAGACTTCTGACAGCCGCCCTCCTTCCTTGTTGCGTTGTGCCGCGCACGTCTTTTTTGGAGTGAGAGTCTCCCCCGGTACGGAGTACGTATCCGAAGAGAAGCGGTAGACGGGCGCCAGTCTAAGACCAAGCAAGCCCATTCCCAGCCATCCATCCACTCTAGTACTCACTTCTCCGCCATCAGTGCGTCTTTTTTACCTCTCTCTCTCTCTGTGTGTGTGTGTGTGTGTGTGTGTGCCTGTCTCTTTGCTGGGACGGGAGGGTGTGAGGTATAATGTTCTGACGCGCGCCGTCCTCTGTATCTCTACCACTCAACCTCACTCTACCATGATTTAGCTCCCGAGACGAGACACACAACCTTTCTGTCTGGGACACAACCGGTGTGAGCCAGGAAGGTGGCAGAACATACAATAACAATGACAGCACCAAATCCAATTATTGGCGATGTCGGGATCGGTTCTAGCCGGCCTCTTTTTTTCTCGAGGATACCCACTTTCTCGTCGAGAATCGGGAAGAGAGAGAGGAGACAATTCCTTCCCCCGCTCGCTCGTCGCGTCCGCTTGTCACGACCCGGGTCGGCCGCGCGAGGCGAAGCGAAGGCGGATAGGATTTGCCAGGTAGATGTAAACAGACCAGTCTCGACTTGGCCAGGCCAGGAAGGTAGGTAGGTCTTCCGAAGGTCTTGATTTGCAGGGCAAGCAAGACACCGCAGCAGGCTCTCCCTCACCCTCACCTCCCACCCCCGGAAAGCGAAAGGGTACGATTGCCTGCATGCGCGTACGGGTATGCATGCTGCTCAAAACATGGGGTGGCGGCGGCGAGATCACGGATCACAGAGGAGCCCTGGAAACTCTCGCTCGCTCTTGCTAGTGCTGGAGTCCTGGCAGCGGGCGGAGTGTGTATCCGTACGGAGTATTGGCAACCTCGTCCTCGCTCACGGAGGATGCCCCCTCAGGAAACAGAGCAGGTGTCGTGAAATGGCTCTTGCGCACCTGGGCCGCAGCAAGCAGGCGCATGCTGGGCAGATCATGTAACTGTCAGGGACGGGGTCAAGCGAGCGTGACGTGGACCTTTGTCTTGCGCGCTCGAGCTGATATCCTCTCTTCTCTCGCCAGTCTCCGTGTCTCCCCTTGCCGTCCGCTTGTGAGTGGCGCTGTCATGTTGGACCTTGGACACCGGATGAATCGTCAAGTCGGGATAGAACTTGAACGCTTGAAACGGTTCGCCCCCTCCTTCATGACCCCTGTGCTCGTCCCTGACGTCCCTGATTGATATCACATGAGAGACGGGCGGGAAAAGGGAGCTTGGGGCTCGGCGGTGCGAGATTGACTTTTTTGATTACCTCGCTACGCAGACTGTCTTGCTTCCTCGTGGGTACCCCGGCACCAGTCACCTCCCTGCAATGGTTGGTATGACCAGGCTGTCTCGTCTCGTCGTGTCGTGACTTGTCTTGTCTTGCCTTTATCCCGACATGACGAGGTCGACCGTTGGAGTTGTCGGTTGTCCGAGGTATGATTACGTATTGGAAAGAGAGCGGTGCATCATCGCGCAGCGAAGCGTTGAAGAATGCAGCGCGTATAGCGCGCGCAGAATATGCAAGCCTCGGCGTCCGTCTTTGCGACTCCAGCTTTCTTTTCCCGGGGAACATTTGCGACTTGTCGTCCTCGTCTTGTCATTTCTCATAGTTTTCACTAAATGGCATGTTGGTGGTTTAATGCAGGAGAGACGGCAGGCCAGGCCATGCCGCCGTGGCAGGGCCCGGCGCATCGCATCGATGCTCCCTCACCTCGCTCCAGCCCTGTCCCGCCCGCCCAAGGCTAGCCGCGAAACACGGCGGCGGGAAGAGAGGAGGCTCGGAAAGTAGGTTGTGAGGTAAGGTAGTGGTATCCGCAGTGCTGTGCGCAGCGGTGCAGCGGGCATCGTGCATGAACTGCTGGTACGGCATGATAAGATGGGTGTTATACATGTGACGGAGCACCGCCTGGCTTCTCTTTTCTTCGACTTTCCAAGGATTGACCTGGACAACGTCGGGAGAGAACGAGGAAAGAAAAGGTTAGGTTAGCGGGCCTGGAAGCTGCATTCTCTTGGTGTCGATTGGCAAATGCAGGCGCATGTGCGTGCAGTGGCCTCATGGTAGAGGCATAGATGGCAGACATGGGAGTCCCCGAAGCTACGGCCCTTTCATTTGGTGTTTCCCGCCTCCCGCCGCGCGGCAGGTTTGGCGATGCAAGTCAATTCGAGACCCGAAGCTAGGTGCACCTTTCTTCCAGGAAGCTTGGATACCAAGCTTTTTTTCTTTCTTTCTCCTTCTCGTTTCTTGTCACCTCTCTGGTCCCCTCGCCGGATGTGGGAGTATGGGGGGAGCTACGGTGCAAATATGAAGCAGCCAACATCGGCTGTGCAGGTTTTTTTTTTCCCGTTTAAGGTGCAACCTTCGGCCGATGACTGGTCGTGATGTGCATGACTGGCGTCTGTGGGGGATGCGCTGCCACTGCGAACAATGTCCTAGGCCGATTGGATGGCTTTATTTTTCGCCGCACCAAGGGCCCCCGGTGATATGGTTTGGCGATCCAAAGGGTGGAAGTCTGATGTCGTCTCTTTTCGGTGCATGTACCCAATACGTCGTCCATATAATCATCAATGTCATTTCCACAAGGAGATAGGAATAGCCTTCTGTTGAGCCAGATGTTGAGGGGGTGTGAAGTGAGCGGCATCCGGGTCAGAGACGTCGTCGATGAGGAGATAACGACGACAGCAGATTCGCAGTTGTGAAGCAGGACAAAAAGGTCCAGAACTTGTTTTTCGCACTCGCATCTGCCGAGCCCAGACCTCAATATGGTCCCCTGACTGAGCGTTCCGAATGCCGTCAGGCTGTGGCGCCGAGGAGTGATTGGGCCTCTGCAGCCCGTCATTCCAAGATCGAGCAAGGTATGACCTTCTTCACAGCCTCTTTTCCACACTGACCGTCCCGATCTCAGCTCTGTGGGCTCGTGGGTAACCTCGTGGGCGAAGGAACCATGTCGCTTGTTTTGGGGGGGGGGAGGGTGAAGAGCAAAAGGGTGTGCCTATGTGTGTCTGATCCGGTGTTTAGGCCTGATGTCGGTACCTGCAGGAGATTGAGAGGTTGAAGGTGAGGTGAAAGGTCCCCTGAGGTTCGAAGCGTTCGGTCTTTTTGCAACCAGAAGGTTCCAAGGGGACTCTGACGTGCACATGCATTCTTTGGGATTTGAGGAATGACGGGATTCGAGTTGGGGAAACATCGGTGCGCCGACGCTGCTGCAGCTCCTGCATTTGCCATGATGGCAGGCGAAGCAGTTGGCACTGGCAGCTCGGTCCAGGAACGGCACGTGACTTAGCTTCGCCTTACTCGGAAAGCTTTGGCCGGATGTCTCTGTCTCTACACCTTCTACACCTTCCCGTCATGTAGTGTGATGAGATGTGATGTGAGTTTAGGTGTAAGTGAGAGGTGTGTTCGGTAGCTCTCGGTGAGGCAAGGTCATGTGACCCCGCGACCGGTACGTGCCTGGATCGACCTTGGGTGTAAATGCGCTTGGGACTCTCTAGCCTGCGGCGCCGCGTGATTCGCGTATCGTTGACGACAGAAATAAACCCTTTGTTTGCTCATGGAGACACTAGAGGCAAAATCCAGCATTATGATCCAACGTTCCTACCGTGTGGACCTGAACGACATTGCATGCTCAACGCGCATGTGCCTTGCATTGCAGCGCCGTTTACACCTCGCATCCTAGCAAAGCAAGAAGGGGGGAGAGGGAAAGAAAAAAGAAACATCATTGCACCAAAATAAACACGTGTCTCTAAACCGAGATGCCTTCGCCGGAGAAGACACCGATCCCGCCAGCCGCAAAGCCGCGGTTCGGCAACCACTTCGATCCATACAGCTCAAGCGCCACCGGTCATCAACGCCCGGATAACACCCCGGCCACAGGATGGCGAACCAGCCGCGCTCTCAAGCTCTCGGAGCAGTTCGCAGGCGGCCACTCTGGCGGCGCCCGCATGAGTGATACATACGGCGCCGGGAGCGAGGACTTTGACGAAAAGCTGAAGATGGTGGTGCCCAAGAACGTCAAGGCGAGGGCGAAGATGAGCGTGGCAGACATGTTGGCGCGGCCCGGGCTGATGAGGAGCGGCTCTTCCGTCTCCGAGACCGGCTCCGCGACATCTGGCACGTCTGCTGCCGCGTCGGGTGGTGGGAACGTGAAGAGCGAAGAGGAGGTCATGGAAGCTCGGCGGAGGGAGGGCGAGGATGCTGAGGCAAGGAGGGCGGCTGGCAGGGGCTTGTTCGAGGGCGTCACGGTGTACGTCAACGGGAGCACGCATCCCATCATCTCGGATCACCGACTCAAGCGCGTCTTGGTCGAGAACGGTGCGCGCATGTCTATACATCTCGGTCGGAGGCAGGTTACGCATGTCATTGTCGGGAGACCGGCGGGCGTAGGCGCTGGAGCCGGCGGAGGACTTGCGGGCGGCAAACTTGAAAAGGAGATTCGCAGGATCGGCGGGTCTGCCGTCAAGTATGTTGGCGTTGAGTGGTTGGTTCTTTCCCCAGTCCCCCTATCCCGTCTTCTTGACGAATTGGCGGATGCTAATACTTCCCGCAGGGTCATGGAGAGCCTCAAGGCGGGAAGCCGATTGCCCGAGGCACGCTTCGCCCCCCTGAAAGTTGCAAGAGAGGGTCAACGAAGCGTCTATGGCATTTACGGGAAGCAGGCCTCCAAGGACTCCCCTACTGGACCAGAAAGTTGAGGCGGTTTCTTCTTAGAGTGTTGATGACGTTGGCGGACGTGGTCGGTTTTCAAATATTGCATTGATAGGTCACTTGCATTGCCGGGGATAGGATCAGAGCTGAGGGCACAATGATACCAGAAATACATCGGGGGGCATGCTGTGATTCGGCATACGAGGCGTTGGTTGGGAACTCCTCTGTTTGACTGTGTTCCACTTAGAACTTCACAATTTCCAATACAATTTCGCTCGTTAAGATCTGATCCATGTCTGCTACGTTCTGTCATCCCACTCGACCCTCTGTATATGGTGTCCCGCGTCTCCCATTCCAATAGAACCCGGATCACATTTTCCGCAGAAACTTTCCCCTCGACGGGAATGAGAAACGGCCGCTCAGCTTCGAACACTGTTACACGTCTGACGGCCCGTGAGCAAACATGGTACGACGGCCGCGACTCGGTACGGGTATCAGGTTGTCCTTCGAGCCTCGTCTTCCCGTCATGGGAGCATATAATCTTCGTATGGCAATGGGCGTGGAGGAGGGACTTCCTCTTTCTTTTGTAGCACAAGCTGACCGTAACGAGGCCTAGGACGGAAGGGTGTGACCGAGTAGGTCGTGAATACGGACCGGCGGGCTCTCGACTTTTGTCGTACCATCCATCCTGCGGGCGCGTGTCGCTTTACAGCGACGGCGCCAGGTCGCACGATGGTCGTCGTCGTCGTCGTCGGTGGCAATCGCCTCGGGCGAGAGATCGTAGGCGGCCTAGGTTTTCTTGGATCAGTTGGACGAGCCCAGGCCATAAGCCTGTCTGTAGATCATTTTTTTGATGGTTTCGTTCCAATGGCCCTTGTTACTCACTAGCTATCAAACAAGGCGAAGCCTTGTCGACGCCGTTGGGTTGAGTATGCGGATGGCTATGAGGTTTACGACAATAGTAGACTTCGACCATGACGAGAAAACGAAGCCTCGAGGTGCCAGGCGGCTGAGTAGCGCAGCCTTTAAGGGCAAGACCCGAAATTGTCATACCTCAATGCCCGGTATATGGATACAAAACCAGGAATAGATGGTCTCGTTTCCGTGTCTCTATTCGAATGAGGTTGAAATCATGCCATCACGATATTGCCCCTTATATGTGTAGTACATAGAAACTCTCGGCCCCCCGGATTTAATGGCTTGTCTTTGTCCATGACATGGACAGATGTATCGAAGGAAAGATCATAGAGGAGTAACGTTCGTACTCTATTGGTCAAGAACGTAAAAATTAAGACTAAGCCAACTGCTATTCTTGTAAATCGGCAACTTACTCGGGGGTACGAAACTCGTGAATGTCTGTATTTGATATACGATATGAGTGAGCGCAGTTCAGATCCATCAGCGGCTTGATTCGGTAACAGGAACATGCCCATCGTAACGTAAAGGCATGCAGAAACATTACCCATGGGGTAGCTCCAGTTCACGTCTACCAGCATTGGAGGATACAGCGTCTCTTTGTTCCATCATCGAGTCCTCTGGAATCATGTGATGGCTTTTACTTTAACTTTGTCCTGCTCTCATGATATCAATCGCAACATGCCTGGTGGTATTGCAGAGTGTCTTGTGTGGAGCATTTATTTGCTGTTTATTTCTTTTCTCGACACATACGTGCGTAGAAAAACTCGCACTTTGCGGATATCTCTGTACGTAATTACCCTTCATCAGTGTATAATAGCATGTGATGTGTAGCATGTCTAGATGTGTGATAATCAACTCCAGAGAGCGCATGAATTGACAAAGGTACGTGTAGATTAGGCTCTTCCATCATGCGTTATAAATCCAAACATCTACAACTTCGCTCTAGCCTCCGTACTCTTATGCCCATCCCCCCTCACCTCCCAATACTCCCTCACCTTCTCCCTCGCAACATCCACCGCGCCCGCGTCCTCGACCGTACTCGGCACCTGCACCTCCTTTTCAAACTCCTGGTGCACCGCGTTCTCCAACAGCTCTCTCAGGACGCGTCGCAGCGTCTTACCACTGCGCGTCTTGGGAATCATCCCCTTGCCCTGTATGAGCCCGCCCAGCGTGGCGATGGCGCCGACCTGCGACCGCACGAGCGCGTTGATCTCGTCGGCGAGCTTCGCGTCGGGCACCGCAGAGGTCGGGTGCTCGGGAGTCGAGAGCGTGATGAAGGCGAAGGGGAGCTGGCCCTTGAGCGCATCTGGGATGCCCACCACGCAGGCTTCTGCGACGAGGGGGTGGGATGTGATGGCTTGTTCGAGGCCGCCTGTTTTCTCGTTGTCAGCTTAGGGGTTTTATGCCTGTACGGAGAGAACAAAAAGGATAAGAATCCTACTTACCACTTGACAGACGATGGGCGCTGACGTTGAGTACGTCGTCGTTGCGGGACATGACGTTGACGTAGCCCTCGACGTCAATGTAGCCCGCATCCCCCGTATCCAGCCACTTCCCGTCGAAACGCTTGAGATAGCCTTTGTAAAACCGCTCTTCATCTTGCCACAGTGTTCTAAAAGCCGTCGGGGCAAGTGGCAACCCGAGGACGATGTTTCCCATGGTGCCCCTCGGAAGTTCCTTGCCGTTATCGTCTACGATGCGGACATCGAAGCCAGGCATGGCCTTTCCGGCGCTGCCCGGCTTGATATTGGGAGGAGGATGACCACGAACATCCGTACCCCGGTCTTTCCCGGCATGAGGCACGAGAGCCCGTCCTGTGATGGGCGACCCGGCTTCCGTCGACCACCAGTTGTCCACGACGTGGGCATCGACTGCGCCGTAGGTTTCGAGAAGCTCCTGGTACATGGTGATGATTGCCGGTTCGGACCGCTCACCCGCCAAGAAGAGTCCCTTGAGCGCCCGGAGGCCGCCGCGCTCTCCAATCTGCTTGAAGAGCTTGTTTTCGGGGTCGTCGCGCTTGATGGCGCGGAGCGCCGTCGGTGCCGTGAACATGGTGTTGACCTTGTACTCTTCCACGATGCGCCAAAAGGCTGAAGCGTCTGGTGTGCCGACAGGTTTGCCTTCGTAGAGGACGGTGGCGGCGCCCGTGAAAAGGGGGGCATATACGATGTAACTGTGCCCTACGACCTACATCCCTTGATGTTAGAATCTGAACTGGTCATGGGAGCTTGATAGAACGTACCCATCCAATATCTGACGCTGTGAACGAAACACATCCCGGACCGTGAATGTTGAACAGGTAACTGATGGAAAGATGCAGCCCCACAGCGTGCCCAGCAGCATCCCTCAACACGCCCTTCGGTGATCCCGTCGTACCAGACGTGTGGATGATGTAGATCGGATCCGTTGACTTAACGGGCACGCACTCAGCCCTGATGCCCCTCGCACGACAGCTCTTCACGATGCTCTGCCAATTCCTCTCGCCGTCGTTCCTCTTGATGGGATTCCACCGGATCTGCTCGCGCTGCCATACGACCACCTTTTCGGGCTTATGCTTGGAAATTTGGCAGGCCTCCTCGACGAGCGGTTTATAGCTCATTGCCGGCTTGTTACCGTCGATGCCACACGACGCCGTCAAGATGGCCACGGGCTGAGAGGCCTCTATCCGCTGGGCGAGGGCGGCCGGTGCAAATCCGCCAAACACAACGGCGTGAATTGCACCTAGGCGACTGACGGCGAGTATGCCTATTAATGCCGCGGGGATCATGGGCACTAATTATAGTGTAAGCTTTGGATCGAAAACACTTGCTATCCGACACATGGAGTAATGCTTACTATAAAGCAAAACGACGTCGCCCTTTTTCACTCCCTCTTCCCTCAGCGCCCCGGCAAAGACCTCGACCTCGTCGAGCAGCTGCTTGTACGTGAGGGTCTGCTTGGTATTTGTGACGGGACTGTCGTAGTATATCGCCGGAGCGTCACCCCTGCCATCGTGAATGTGGCGGTCTACGCAGTTGAAACAGGTCGAAATCTCACCGTCCGGGAACCACTCCCAAGAGTCGTGGGTGACGCCGCTCTTGAGCGTCTTCTTGGTGACTTTCAGTGTTGAAGAGGGCTTCTTGTGCCAGTACAGGTGTTCGGCCTGGTGAGCCCAGAAGGATTCTGGGTCTTCGAGGGAATGACGCAAGACTTCGTCTTGTGGGTGTAAGTTATCCATATTTACAGTAGCTTGCGTGTTTGCGTTGCTGGGTGGGTGGTAATTGTGTTTCGTCGGGGAATGAGATGAAGTGTACGGAGTACTAGTGAGATTACGACAAAAGATGACAATGGTTCAAAATTGCAGTGAACTCGTCGAGACAGTTGCCGTTGGGATTATAGGAGTCCTCTCGGCTACGGCTCTCTCTCAAACAGTCGGACGGCTGGAAGTTTGGAGGTTGGGACGGTGTTGAAATACGAGACAGCTCTACCCTTGCTGCTGCAGCTGACGTGCCCTCTCCCCACTTGGACCTTGGTGCGCTGGCTGGCTCGACCTGGGGCTGCCGTTGAGGAGGCGGGCTTCCCCGCATTCCGTTGACCCGGGGCAAGGGGACCGTCCGTCATTGCCGACCACGCCGACATCGCCAACCGATCTTGGCTTCTTCCATCGGCCGGGGACCCCACGGGGTTTGATCTGTGTCAGATTGCTTGATTCCGCCTGCATCTTGCTGCATTTTCTTATTCTTTGGTGATTGGGCAAGTGATTGTCTGAAACGATTGTCGCTCGGAGTGATGAAATTAGTTTACTACATAGACGGACTCAAGGAAGCCCTCACTCTCGACGAAGAAAAAGGTATCAATTGACATTAATGGATATTGTCTTCTTGGGTAGTTCCGTCAATTTCTCATCTAGTCTCACTATGCAGCAGGTGAACTTTCTATAGGTGAGGGGCTGCTTCATCAATTCTCCTAGATGGTCTTGAAGGTGAAGTGACTGAGACTACGGATATTTCCCCAGAGATGGCGATGGTCCCACCCGGCTCCCCGCAAGACCCATCCGCCCCGTAGACTTGCCGCCGGCGTGCTCTATCTGCGCAATCAAGTTTGCCCAATTGTAAAATCCCGAAAGTAGCCCGAAGTCAAAGGCGACTGTGAATTAGAACAGCCCAAGGACTTGCGGGATTGCAGCAACCCAACTGCAGAAACAGAGTCATTTCAGCAACGCGCTGTTACTCGGTCCCTAATCATGCCTTCGCAGCTACTCTTGTCGTGACAGAGCGTGACTACTAGGTAGACAAGCCGACGCTCTCCGAAGCCCTCACCTAACCACCTCAGTACAATATTGAAACTTTTGAAAGTCCAACTCGCTCGCTCCGGAAAACACGTCCGGGTAGGCAGTTGCCCGTGAGCCTTAAACGTAAAGCTCTTGACTTACTTCTAGATCTGCGCGGTAGAGAGCGGGAGTCACCGCGCGCAGAATATTCGAGCCACCGCTTCAAGCGGCACGGCATCAACAACCGCTCCGGTCCAGCCGGCTTCCACCGGGGTCAACGAGTTCCACGCCCACTACACAAAGATCGGGGAAGGCCATCCGCAAGGTCGAAGGAAAAATCGCTCTTGCTGCGTACCTTACAGGAAGTGAGCAGCGGGGCAAACGAAACCGAAAGGCCCAGCCCTTAGGGATGGGTTGCCCATCCACCCTATGAAGACTTCCTCCCCAGCGCCAAGCTTCAGTGACAAACTGACAGCTGCCAATGACCTTATGCCTCTTTTTTCACTCCGAAGAATCCTGGACGACAATCCGTTGCTCTAATGCATTCGTGGAAATTCGATTGATGGTGATCGGCACACCGCGGCCCAGATGGGTTGTTAATTTCGCTTACGTCCGTGTTAGTATCCATGAAGGTATGCACATCTCCTGGGTAATTGACAATCTTATAGAGAGATATTGCTATATAGATATATGCGTATAGAGAATATTTCCCGAAAATCTCTCTCTGCTTCTTCCAACTCGAGTCGGGCTTTCACATTCCTCATGTCTTCACAATGCTTTTGTACTTCAAAGATACGTCCCATCCACATTCCAAACCCTTTCTTTTCAGCTCACCGTTCTGTTCATTGTGATCTAAAGTGGTATAGCTGATACCATGCGCCTGGAATCACCTACCAGCTGCACTAGGTACGAATACTAACGGTACGGTTCCATTTCCAGCTCAACAACAAGTGCCCAGCGAGAAAAAGACCCACACCTCCATCACAGCCAAAGCACCGCTAGTCCCGTCCAATCCGGCGTACCTTTCACCGCTGCAGTAGCGCCCAAACGCTGCAAGACGCAGGTACAGCGCAGCGCCACGCCTGCCCCCTCCGAACCCCCTATTTCCCATAAGGTTCTTCTCCACGGTAAGGTAAACAACACAAAAACCAACAAAACAACCTTAATCGATCTGGATGCAACGACAGAACATTATCTCAGCCCCGAACGGCGGTCTGTCAGGCGGGCTGCAGCTCTCAGCTCCTCCTCGGGAACTCACACTACCAAGTGGTAATTACATTGCCCCCCTCCTCTTGGCTGGCTGGCATGCCGCGTCTCCCCCAAGAGAGAATTGTTCCTCGTATGCGCTCTAGGCACAAGGAATGCGGCACGGCTGCGGCGTAAAACGAGAAGAAAAAAAAAGGGAGACGCCCTAAGCAGAGGCGCCCAGGACATTAGTGTGCTAGGCATGCGGGACTGCGCCTTCTTTCCAAGACATACCTCAAGAATCCTCCTCACGCAGAGGAGCTTTCAAAGATGAATGGCCTTGTCCAACGTTAGCGAAATGAGACCGATGTGTTCTCTCTCACCGGAATCCGTATCCGTCAAACCTCGGGAGTCGGGACTCGCCATCAAGCTCCGCGCTATTGCTAGACTATTCCATTCCGGCGTCCTTTCCATGTCTTGGACCTATTTTCGTCCTTTGTAACCGTTTCTTTGCAAAGAAAAGACTCAGACTCACCGAGCCTCTTACAATGTGACAATGCTCTTACACTAGGTGCCCCGTCCACAATGGTCCCGAGGCATGGCCTACTGTCGGGAGCGTGTATTCGTAGTTGAATCTTGCACCAAAATCGTAGTATTCCCGGGGGCAGGTGGGCAATGCCTTTGGAAATTCTCCGACGAAATAAACAAATTGCATACGCCTACATTGTTTTTCATTTGCTTGATGTCACGGCCGAGTGACCGGCTAGAACTTGTCTCACGCTCACATACATTACATGGCAATTGGCTTTGGCAGTAGGGCGTAATGCACACAAAGGCGAGTTTTCAGTCGTTAGACGAGAGGAGAATATGATGTGAATTGGGTCAAAACAGGTTACTCTGCAGCGAGCAATGAGACAGCAAAAGATAACCTATCATGGTCGCATTATATTCCCATTTTCTAAGCCTCTCGAAAATGAAGAGGATGGTATTGTACCGCACACACACGGATATAATCCTCAATTGGCGATTTGACGGGAGTACCGAGCCATAAACAAAACCGTGATTGGGCGAAGGTTTGTTTGCAAAGCAAGTACAAGAAGTTGCAGTATTGACAGGTGTGGTTTTACTGCATGGCTTGGACGTTCCATCGTAGAAAACTCCATGGCGCCATGCAGGCAAGAAAATGTACCGGGTATTCTGTGGGCGTGTCGTTTCCTTCTCCGTCGTCTTGGGGACCATTCCCAAGTTCTACTGTCCAAGGAGACTCCCAAAACTCCCATCCATAAAAATTCCCATCCAGTCGATTACTTGTCGAATGGTTCACAACCGCGCTCCAGTCATTAAGTGTCGTAGGCTCCCCACGAAAATTAAGATGTTATCGTACGTCAAAGATCGTAGGGGGAGACGTGGATGGCGAGACGTGAATATTTATTTAGAGGACGAAAGCAGCGAATCCGAGGACACCGGCCAGACCGGCGCCAGAGAGGGCAGCGGCCTTGCCAGCACCGGCGGTAGGGACCGAGACGGGCTTGGTAGGGGTGATGGCAGCGGTGCCGGCGACGGTGGTCTTGCTGAGAGCGGGAGTGGCGACGGGGAGAGTGCCGTTCTTGGTGGGGGCGGCGCAGTTCTCGCACTTGACGATGGAGGAGGTGATGACGGGCTTGGTGACAGTGCAAGGGCAGTCAGTGATGGTCAGGGTGGTGGCCTGGAACGTATTAGCTTTGTGTTGAGATCGACGGGTTTTGTTTAGAGGTGAAAGGTCGGGGCATCTCCGAGTCTCCCGGGGCTGATGATGGCCGGCGCTTGGCCGGCGGCCCCCCGAAACGCTTTGAGCTGCTCCCGTCCACCTCTCGAATTCGACATACCGTGGTGATGGTGTAGGTCTTGTCAGCGTGGGTGATGACAGTGGGACCAGGGCAGTAGGTGGTGTAGGCAGAGACGACCTCGGTGACGTAGGTGACGTTCTTGTGGGCCATGGCGCCGGCGGCGGCGAGCACAAGGGCGGCAGCGGAGAACTTCATTTTGACGGTTGTTGAGGAGAACTTGGTATTAAGACTCGAAAGAGTTGTAGTTGCGAGTTGAAGATTAGGTGGTTGGGTTAACGAGTGAAAGCGACTAAAAAGTCTGGGTCGGTACTGAATGAGTGAGTGTGGGTGAGGAGGGAAAGGGAAACGAGAGACGGGATGGCCTGGAGGAAATGAACTTATATACAGAGATGGGCGCAACACGACATGGGAACTGGGGTGGTGGACACTGACTGGGCTCTCTACCTTACGTAGTAGTGTCGACTGTAGATTGTGAGAGTGCCTGTGCTACCATGGGACCCTGCCTTGCGGTAAGGTAATGGGATGGGTCAGGGACGGTACCTTCGCCCGGTCATGAAGGTGGAGCATCGCATCTCCTGGCCCTGGAGATGAGAAGAGGAGCTGGACTGGGAGGGCGAAAGAGAGCACACGCCGCCTTTCCCCCGGTCCCCTGCTAAGATGGGCGCTATCCATGGCTGAACAGGGGGGCTGGTTCCTGTTCCCTTTTGCTATTCACTGACCAGCTTATTTCACTTGGGACGAATTAGAAGTGGGCTAGACGAACGGGTTCTTGGTAACGAGGGGAGTAAACACGAAGAAAACACCATTGTGGATGATTTGTGTGGACGGACGGGAAAGGGGGTAGACCAGGTGTGTGTGTGTGTGTGTGCTCATGCGTTTTTTGCGTTTCCCACGTTGTTGCTGGTGGCTTTGGCAATACAGAATTGGTCAGGCAGACTAAGCGGCTACTCACTCCCCTTTGGCCCAGGGGGCGGGAAATAGAATTGACAAGTTGAGTGGTGTGGTTGCGCAGAGAAGACGGGAAAAGCAAAAGAGAAGTCGAAAAGACTGGGCTAGAAGTTGACTCTTGGAGCGGTACGTACCATCGAAAATGGGATGAAATCAAAGGGGGGTGTGAAAGAGGATGGTAAGAATATGCACACAAAGGGGAAAGACCTTGGAGCGCGGGAATTGAGGTGTGGGAATCATTTACCTTTTGCTCCACTTGGA